ATTTTTGGCTGCACTGGGTCTTCGTTGCTACATGCGGACTTTCTCTAGTTGTGGTGAGCAGGGGCTACACTTCGTTGCAGTGCACGGGCTCCTCATTGCAGTGGCTTCTCTTGTTGCGGAACACGGGCTCTAGGTACACGGGCTTCAGTAGTTGTGGCTCACGGGCTTAGCTGCTCTGTGGTGTGTGGGATCTTTGAGCCCAGACCAGGGCTCAAACCACGTCCCCTGCATTGGCAGGTAGATTCTTAACCACTGCATCACCAGGGAAGCCCAGAAGTAGTTTTTTTTAAAAAAAAAAAAAAAAAAAACCAAAAACAACAATACCTACTCATGATAAAAACAAAATTTTAACCCTACAAAAGTACATGAAATAGAAAGTAAAAGTCCCCACAGTCCCATTTCCCCCATCCTAAGATAACTACTGGTAACAATTCGACATACCCTTGTCTCTTTTCTGTACATACATAGACATAATCTTCTTCACAAAAATAAGCTCATATACATTTCTAGAGCTTTATATACATTTCTAGAACCTTCTTTCTTCCACTTAAAATATTACCAGCACCTTTTATTTCAACGCTTAGAGCTTTGCCTCTTCCTTTGTAATGGCTACATAATATTCCACTGACGTGAATAAAGAATACTTTATTTACCCAGTCTCTTACTGCTAATGCATTTGAATTGTTTCCCTTGTTTTGCTATTATAAGCAGTACTCCTTGGTTCTTGTTTTGTTTTGCTTTGGATGATAATAGAGGAAGGAGAAGGCCTCCCCCAAATGATGATAGGACCCAGGAAACTGTTCAGAGATGGGCTATGAGCAAAGAAAGAACTGCCTGACCTTCAGCCCTCCTGCCCCTCCAGCCCACCCACCCCCATCTCCATAATTATGCTTCTCAAGAGAGGATCCAGTACCTTTTTTTAGATTCAAAGAGATTCCAGATATAGAAATACCCAGACTAGGGAAAGGTAGAAGGGGTCCATAGGAGGAAAAGTGGGCTGGTTTGGACAGAGGTCCCCCAGGCTCAAGGTCAGTATGAGCATCTGCTGCCAACCTGCTGTGAGGTCACCGGGGGGCAGAGGATGGGTCAGACGTTCAGCGTCACCCGAGCCTTCATCTTCTATTGCAGGGCACATTCTCATTTGAATTCCAGCCCTTGAAAGCTGGAGAAACCTCCGGGAAACTAACACTGCACAACAGTGATTTGGGTTACTACCCATATGAGCTCAGTTTGAAGACCACGCCAGCACTGCCTGAAAAGCCTGTCCACTTCCAGGCTGTTCTCGGCAGTGGCCAGAGCATCTTTGCCAAGTTCACCAATTACGCCCGGCAGAAGATAGAATACTACTGCAGGGTGAGCAGCCCCTGCCTCACCCTCTGCCCTATGCTTTCCAGAAGTCTGGGCTCCAAAATAATGGGAGGGGGACACGGCGGGTGCAGAAATGTGAAACTCAGACTCAAGTGCTTTATCTAGTTGGAAACTCCCAGCTAGAAACAAAGAATACCAGGCCTGGGTTCTTCCTCACAGACTTTCTAGCGTAACAAGCTGGGGTTGGGGTAGGGGGAGTTTTGCTTCCCACAACATACTCAGTGGTCAGTACAGTGAGACAATAGAGCTTAGTGGTCATGAGTATCGGCTGTGGAATCCAGCAGACCTGGATTTGGATCCTGGCTTCACCGTTTACTCTTTGTATGAATAGTTTACTAACACTCTCACAGGATAGCTGTCAGGATTTTTAAATAGGTATATAAAACTAATCCTGGCCCATAGTAAGTGTTCCATATGTGTTAGCTATTAAATCAGTGTGAATATAGGATTAACTACTGAAACAGAAAGCCCCGCAAACCAACAAAATAGTAGTTTATTCCTCTCTCAGATAGCAGTGTGCGCAAAAGCAGTTTGGGCTGGAATGGCAGCTCCGTGACATCAGGCACCCAGACCCTTCTTTCCTGATGCTCTTCCCTCTATAGGGAGTTGCTGCGGTGCACACAGACCAAGATGGTTTACTGTGACATCCACATTGCAGCCAGCTACCTGGGGAAAACGGGGAAGCTGCATACGTCACTGCCACTCACATTCCACTGAAGAAAACTTCGTGTGACCACACCCAGCAACAAGGGGAGCTAGGAGTGTAGCCTTACACTGGGTGGCCGTGTGCCCAGTTATCATCAGAGTCCCATGGCCGTGGTCACAAGGCATAGGCTCTGTTTTTAACTGAGGTAGAGTTGATGTACAGGATTTTATAAGTTCCAGGTGTACAACGTAGTGATTCATGATTTTTAAAGAGGCGTAGGCTCTTGATCATCCCCATCCGTCAGGAGAAGCCTGGTTATTCTGTGGTAACAAACAGCCCCAACATCTCAGTAGCTTAAAACAACAAAGGTTTGCCTCCCATTCGTGCTTCTCTATCCAGGGAAGGTCAGCAGGGGACTCTGCTCATCACAGCCACCCGGGGATCCAGGCTGAGGGGCAACCACTATCTCAGATGTTTCCAGTCATAGCAGCAGAGGGGTGAAAAGACCCCAGAGGGACTTGCTCTGGCAAATAAAGGCTCTAATGTGGAAGGGACACCTTGCACTTCTACTCTCAACTTATTGTCCAGAACTAGTCCCAGCCGTCTACGAGGAGCCAGAGTCTCCGGTCCTCCAGGGGCAGTGGAAGGAAAGAAGCACGGGATACGGCGGGTCAGCACCCAGGACTGCCGCCCATATCATCCCGCTGTGTGTCTGTTTAACATCTCTTGGCCTTGGTTTCTTTGTAGTAAAACGGGGATAAACTAGTAACACCTACTCTTCAAGGGAGTTTTAAGGGCACAGCTTTTGTATAACCTGCCCGTCCTCACGCAAGCGTAGGTTGCTCATGTCGGAGGGTGGAGGGCTGGGGACGGACATGAACTGCTGGTTTGCTCTTCAGAGTCCTGGGTGAGCCGAGCGCGTTTGTTCTCCTTTCAGACCGACTGTCCAGACTTCCACACGGAAAAGTTCATCTCCGCGGCCCCCGGGGTGCAGGGCGGCACCGAGGCGAGTGTGGAGGTGTACTTCGAGCCCGGCCGCCTGGGCGAGAGCAAGGGCATCCTGAGCCTCTCATCGCTCGTGGGTGGCGAGTACATCATCCCCCTCTTCGGAGTGGCTCTGCCGCCCAAGCCGCAAGGCCCCTTCCTGATCCGAGCCGGGTGCAACATAGTCATCCCCTTCAAGAACGTCTTCTACCACCCGGTCACCTTCTCCTTCACGGTGGAGAACCCGGCCTTCTCCGTCCGCGCCATAGACTCTGTGAAGCCCAAGAAGATCAACAACATCACGGTCTACTTTGGAGGAAACCCATCAGGCAGCAAAACACCCATCACCAGCAAGCTGATTGTAGCCTGCCCTCCCGGCGAAGGCAGCGACACTGGAATTAAATGGGTTTATTACCTGAAGGGGATCACCCCTTAGTGGGACCCAGGGCCCGCGGCATCATGGAAAAGCCGTCTCCTCAGCCTTAATACCTATGTGTGGTTCTAGCCCTGCGAAGAATAGAGAAAATAATCAGAATTCTAAAGGTACTGTTTTATCCTCCAGTTCAATTACAGGGGCACTTATTTCCGCATTATATGAATTCCAGATATCTGTATGAAATATAGATATTCCATATTAAACATGGTAACTACACGAAACAGCTATATTTTACTTGACAAGGGCAAGTCTCTTCATTTAGTCTCTTAATATATCTCCAAAGCCCAAGCACTATGTAATAATGCTCATGTTTGATAAAATGACACAGGTCTTACACTCATGACCTTCCATCATACAGCACTTAGCAGTGTATGACTCTGGGGCCCCTTTTTTTTTTTTTGCGGTACGCGGGCCTCTCACTGCTGTGGCCTCTCCCGTTGCGGAGCACAGGCTCCGGATGCGCAGACTCAGCGGCCATGGCTCACGGGCCCAGCCGCTCCGTGGCATGTGGGATCTTCCCAGACCGGGGCACGAACCCGTGTCCCCTGCATCGGCAGGAGGACTCTCAACCACTGCGCCAACAGGGAAGCCCCAGGATCTGCATTTTAATGACATCTCCAGGGGGGTTGTGTGCACACTGCAGTGCAGAGCACTGCTTTAAAGGCACCAGCAGAACTTGAGACTTTGCTGAATCCACAGCCCTAACGCTCTTCATTAGAGCCCTGGAGAGGATCTCACCAACTCTGCTTTCAGATGAAGTGAATGAAATGGTTGCCCGCCCCGCAAAGTCCCTCCTCCCACCCACTCCCCAGAGGCAGAGCTGGGGGGAGGGGAGCAGTTGGCCCACCACCACCTTCTTCTAAACGGGTGCCTTTTCAACACTTCTAAACCTAGTATGATAAACAATCGTTAAGACTGCAGGAAAGACGGAGGAAGCCGTGTAAAAGTTGGCTAAAGCACCCGCGGTCACAGTCGGAGCGTGATGAGACTCAAGATTCCTCTAACTGGGACTTCCGTGGTGGCGCAGTGGTTAGGAATCCGCCTGCCAATGCAGGGGACACGGGTTCGAGCCCTGGTCCGGGAAGATCCCACGTGCCCCGGAGCAACTAAGCCTGTGCACCACACTACTGAGCCTGCGCTCTAGAGCCCGCAGGCCGCAACTGCTGAGCCCGCGAGCCACAACTACTGAAGCCCGATCATCTAGAAGTCTGTGCTTCACAACAAGAGAAGCCACCGCAATGAGAAGCCCACACACCGCAACGAAGAGTAGCCCCCGCTCACCGCAACTAAAGAAAGCCCGCGCGCAGCGAGGAAGACCCCACGCAGCCAAAAATTAATTAATTGATTTTTAAAAAAAAGATTCCTCTAACTGTGAAGGTCAGGACTCAGAAATGTTCCCTTGGGGCTGCAGGGCTCCAGCCACCACCCCAGACACTGGCTGCTACAGAAACTGGCCACTTCCCAGTGTCACCACCTGCAAAATGGTGCCTTTAGGTGGCCAGGGGCAGCTCCCCTCCTTCAGCCCCGCTCCAGCTCCCCCCAAGCCACTGAGTCTAGAGCCCAAGCCTCAGTCAGGCCTGGAGTGAGGAGGCAGACCGGCCTCCCTGGGACCAAGCAACCAGCTCAGACCCTGCCCCAGCATGAACCCCCTTCCCGGATGACTTGAGATGGGGTACATCGCTTTCCTATAGGTGGTTCTTATATTTTCTTGGCCTCAGAAAAGGCAATGACAAAATCGTTTCATATTGGCAAGTTTGGAATGTCGCTCAGCAGAGAGCTGAAGGGGAGGCTTAGTGAAAACAAGCATTCTGACGAAAGCTAATGGAAGTTACATTTGAAAGGACGCATTCTCAGCAAAGGAAACCAGGAGACATCTCACTGGGGGGTGTTCAGAAAATATCAGGGCCCAGGTGGCACAATCCCAGAGACCATTATGCACGGAAAACAACGTGAATGAGGCCCCCTGACACTGTTCGACACAGAGGCCCTGGTGAGTGTGGCATCCTAAGTCTAACCACTGCTTTGGGCGAGTCCTGCCTCAGGTCAGAGGTGATTGTACTGTGACGTCACGAGGGCCTGCTGGAGCTGAAGAAATCCCAAGTTTGGGATCTCCCAAACCTCTCATACTGTGCCTCAACATGTTGCCCTGACACTCCAGCAAAACCACACTGCTGTTGGAGAAACTGCTTTGTGCAATTCAAGATTCGGGTGCAGTTTCTTACAGTGTCACCAGCACCCTCTTGCAACAATGCCCATAAGTTATGTAACACCAACCAGGCCTCATCACACGTATGTGCAGATGAGTTATAACTGTGACATGATGGCCACTGTGCAACCAGACATACTAATTATCCACTAGGCTGGAAGAGTCTGAGCACGGCAGGCCTGGCCACCAGGGACAGAGGAGAAGTGAGCACATAGAGAAGGCAATGGTGGCCCTTGGGCTTTATTCTCAGTACCAACGCCAGTCCAATTATGCATAAATAACCTTAACTAGCTGACATTTTCCAAGATGTCAGAAAAAAAAAGTAACCGTTATTTTCAGGAACTTCTGAACTAAAGGTAGGACAAAGCATCGGTTTCAGCCTTGAATGAAAAACTGGTTTCTTAGCAACCTAGGCCAGAATGTGATTACAGAAGAAAAGAGTTCCTTCTGGTAAAAAAAAACATTTCCTTACTGTTTCAATTGTTAAAAAATTGTATCACATTATGACCCATGGGAAATTCAGTTCACCTTTAAGGAAAAGCCAAACCAAACAGCAAAAGAAACAGATGAAATATTATGTTAGATATGGATCTAGTGGAAATGAATACACACTAAAGAAATAGATCCAAATCATTCCCATTGATTTTTTTTTGCATTGTTTTACCTCAACCATCATCAAAATTCTAAAGACATAAACTTTGCAAGACATTTAGAAATGTCCTTATCAGTGCTACTTGGTATCAAGGTAAGGGGAGGAACCTATTAAGCAATACATTTTCTTCTGGAGATGAACCTGTATTGGGGGCAGTTTTCAGGTTGTCGGTGCACCCACCTTCATTTGTCAGATTGTGTTGGCAAGGGTTTTAAAAGCTGTGAAAACCCCACCAGTAAAGGAAAGCACATTTTTCACAGATTTTTCTAGACACAATTACCCCATGACTTGCTGAGTTGGGGGATAGCTCCTGTATTTGTTTTCTATGGCTGCATAACAGATTATCACAAATCTAGCAGCTTAAAACAACACAAATGTCTTATCTCAGTTGCCATGGGTTAGGAGTCCAAAAGGTACTAAATTGGGTTCTTGGTTCAGGCTCCCACGGGCTGAAATCAACATGCCAGCCAGCTGCATCCTCATCTGGAGGCTGAACTGGGGAAAGATTATCTTCCAAACTCCCTCAGTGTGTTGACAATATTCATTCCCTGGCAGCCATTTCACTGACGTATCATTTTCTTGGCAACTGACAACAGGGGACCAATTTTAGCAACGAAAGACCACTCTCAGGTCCTTACCAAGTGATCCATCATAGACAGTTCACTGTTGTTATTATCGACTCCTCAGGGCCAGCAGAAGAATATCTCTCCCATTTAAAATCTCTCCTAACTTCTTTTAAGGCCTCTGCTGATTAGGTCAGGCCCACCCAGGATAATCTCCCTTTTTAGTAACTCAAAGTCAACTGATTAGGGACATTAATTAGATCTGCAAAATATCTTCTGCTATATGACATGACAATTGTTAGAATGACAGTCCATCATGTTTACAAGACTTAATCACAGTTGAAGGGAGGGGATTGCCCAGGGTGTATAGCAAAAAGGGTGGGACTCTTAGGGACCATCTTCGAATTCTATGTACCATAGCCCCTCACTTGTGTCCCATAGATTCTGATCTGTGGATTGAGGATAACACTCCATTTTCAAGACTGTTATAAGCTTTACAGGACTGCTTTTCACTCATTAGAAAAAAGTACGACCAGTGTTATTTCATATCGTTAAAAAAAAGAAACAGGTCCCAAATTGATTCACTTGTGCTTAACTCATGTCAGCAAACCAAGACTTAACATCTAACCTACTTGTAGTTTCAGCTTCTCCCAGCAATATGACCTTTAACTAGTTAATCTGGGATTACCTGATCAGCTCTGGTGAAGTAATCTGCATGATAAACACCCCCCTTCCCCAAAGGAAGGTGACATGGCTGAAACAATCTACTTCATTCCTAGCTGCCACCCCTTCTGCCTATAAAAGCCTTCCATTTTGTTGAGCTCCTTGAAGCTCCTGTCTGCTAGATGGGATGCTGCCAGAGTCATGAATTGTTGAATAAAGCCAATTAGATCCTCAAATTTACTCAGCTGAATTTTGTTTTTTAACAGTATTAATCCTCATTGGGTTCCACTGTGGTATTATAGCTTTGCCCTAAGTCCCTGTTCACTATGGAAGCTTATGATAAGGAACGCTGATGCATCTCCCTGTTACTGTATCTTTAGCCCCACTGCATCCATAAAGTGCTTTTCATCACACAGCTTCAACTTCTGTTCCACCATTTAGTGTGAAACTTCAAAGCACTTGGAGGGGCCGCTTTATAGTGGCTCCACCTGGAGGCCTGCAATCAACACATTTGGGGCTTCTGCTGTCTGTAACCCAGCCCTGCAAGGTATCAGAGCATGATAAACACATCCTGAGTCCCAAATGGTGGGGTGACAGCCACTGCTGGTACCTGAGATTTTAGATGGTAGGCAGATAGTTCTGTTTTTAATTGCAATTTATATGTTTTAGAAAAATATGTCACTACTCAAACCCATGATTTTAAGGCATAAGCAAGGCTAAAGAATGAATTTAAGATTTTTTTAAAGTGAGTTGATTAGAAAGTACTTTTAAAATAACAGTACAAGTGGCTAGGACATAGCGAAAATCAAGATGGTGTTACTCCAATGCGGGAAACTTTGGCATATGAGATATTGACTGGTGACTAAGTAGTGAATGAACTAGCAGATTCAGTAAGTATAGAATAAATTATCCTAAGCGAGTCAGGCTCCAGGAGCCCCTTCGTTCTCACGAACATCTACTGAAGCCCACCAAGTGCCAAGCCTACCACGTGCGGGCAGTTGACTGCATGTAATACAGGCCCAATTAAGCAGGTCTCAAACCAGACTCAGACTGTTGGGGTCGAAAGCTGGAGTGTGAGGGTAGAAGGTGAAGCCGTGTGGGGCGTGGCCAAACACCCTGCAGGTGCGTGCGGAAGCGTGGCTGGAGAGGGGCGGGTCCTAGCGCCGGAAGGCGGAAGGCGCTGCAGAGTCACCTGATTCAAGTAAGATGGCTGTTACCCTTTAAGAGCTGTGGTGCGGGTTCCAAGTGGTACTCCTGACCGGTTGGGCGGTCGAGGGCAGGTGTGCGGAGACGGGGACCTGGCCCCGGTTCCGAGGCGGCGCGCGGCGGCGGCGGCGGAGCGAGTCAGGCGGCCCGGGGCGGCGTGGTCCGTGAGCCGGCGCCGGAGGCAGCGCGGAGCCGCAGACTCCCCTAGCCCCGGCGCGGCCCGGGCTGCCGCGGGCTGAGGAGTCGCGGGGCTCCGGGGAACGCCCCGAGCTGCCACCATGAACCCCGAGAAGGATTTCGCGCTGCTCACGCCCAACACCATGCGCGCCTTCAGTGACAAGCTCTACGAAAGCTGAAGGTGGTGGCAGCGCTGGAGATAGACAGGTAAGAGCCGCGGGCACCCGGGATAGGCGTGGAGAGCGGAGCCGGGACTCCGTCCTGGTTCTGCAGGGGTCCCGCTCCTCCGGGCAGCTCCTCATGCCTTTGCAGCCAGTGTTGCTACTCCAGGTTTCAGGCCCTTAGGGCCGTGCTTAAGAGCAGGAGATTGGCAGTCCCAGCTTTGCTTCTGACTGTGTGACGTGGGCCAAGTTCTTTAACCTCCTGATGCCCCAAAGGGTTGCCGTGAGAATGAAGCGACGTAATGTATGTGTGCTGCTTAGGGCTGCGGTGAGAATGTAGCGCCGTAACGTATATCTGGTGCTTAACACAGCTGCGTCCTCAGTGTGGTCTCCATCAAAACGAGCAAATCAGAGACTGGCCTCTGATGCGAGGGAGATGGGAAGCGTGAGAATTTGCTAAGGATGTTGACCTGCCTCATTTCTTACCCAGCTTCTGAGAAGTGAAAGGGATAGTTAGTTGACCAAGTGGAGAAATAAGCCAAAACCTCAAGGCTCAGAGGGCTGTTTGTTTTACCTGTGTCATATCACGCTTCCGTGCAAGCGGAAGTAGGAATAATTTGACCTTTCTTGTTTCTGCAGTCTTATTACGTGTTCAGTAGGACCCTCTTATCTGTGGGAGATACGTCCCCAGACACCCAGTGGATGCCTGAAACCTTGCATGGTAGCAAACTCTATATATACTGTTTTTTCCTATACATACATATGTATGATAAAGTTTAATTTATAAATTAGGCACAGTAAGAGAATATCCCAATGGCCAGCATCACTAGCCTTGCACTTTAGGGCCATTATTAAGTAAAATAAGGGCTATTTGAACATAAGCACTGCGATACCGACAGTCGATCTGATAACCCTACTAGATGGGTAGATATCATATACAGCATAGATGTGCTGGAGAAACGGATGATTCATGTTCTGGTGAGACAGCAGGAGATTTCACCTCACCACTCAGAACAGCATATAGTTTAAAACTTAGAAATTGTTTATTTCTGGAATTCTCCATTTGATATTTTGGACCTGCGGTTGACCACTGGTAACTGAAACCTCGGATGACGGGGGACCACTGTATGTGTAACCATGATCTGCCGTTTTGCTTTTTTCGCAATCTACAAAACAAGATGTTTGTGAACATTTTAAGATTTGTCTGCTGTTATCTTACTTTTGTATTTTTTGCAGCCAAATCGTTGTGATAAAGTCTGGTGGGTGGGTCATTTCAGAAGAGTAGAAAAGAGCAGGCTGTGAAACTGAAAGAATGCCGGTCTGGGCGTCAGGAAATACGGACTGTAGTCCTGCCCTGTCCAATAGGGTAGCCACTGGCCATGCTTGGCTGTTTACATTTAAATTATTAAAGACAAAATAAAAAATTTAAATCGAGTTCTTCAGTCACACTACCCATATCTGACATGTTCAGTAGCCACATGTGGCTGTCAGATACCATAATGGACAGTGTAGAGTTTAGAACACTTCCAGCTCTACCGAATGCTCTCTTGGACCCCTCTAATCTAGTCTGTGGTGTGACATTCTTTGACCTCCAGCAAATTCCTTAACTCAGGGTTTCTTAATCTCAGCAATGTTGACATTTTGGGACAGATAATTCTTGGTTGTGGTGGGCTGTCCTGTGCACTAGAGGATTTTTAGCAGCATCCCAGGTCTCTGTCCACTAGACACCAGAAGCTTTCCATCAGTTGTACAACCAAAAATCTCTCCAGAAACACTGCCTAATGTCCCGTGGGGATGGACAGTCACCCCAGTTGAGAACCACTGCTTTAACTGCTTTGGGTTTTAGTTTCCTCCTCGGCTAAAGGGTTTGGATTTTGCTAAGAGGACCCTCACATTCAGCTCTAACATCCAGTATGTCCAGAACCACCTAGCTGCTTCTCTCATCAAGCACCACTTGAATGCTCTCTTTTCCCACCACTAGTGGTGGTTACCCTGACTCTCGCCAGTGCCAGCAAGTCGTAATGATAAGTATTGCTATAATGAGTAGGAGACCCAGAGCTGATGTATAGACTTGGCTCCATAGCCGTGGTTTTATCAGCTGACGCTACGGTGACACCTGTTTTGTCCATCACCCACTCTGTTTCTCAGGAATGTTCAGTTTTATCATAGCTTGAGTCGTCGGTTGAGTCCTTGAATAGGGGTGTTCATCTCAGCATTATTGTTGCCTCCAACACATCTTGTGTAAGTGCTCTCACTCTGCAGGCTGTTCTGGAAGGGCTTTGTCTTTAATGGGGTTCATTTTGTGTTTGACATTGCCCTTGGCTTATGGAATCAGGGAAACCCCTTAGGGCCTTCACTGGACTATAAACTCCTTAAGAGCAGAGACCCTGTTTTATTTATCCTCAGCATTTAGCACAGTGCCTGGCAGCATTTGACGGTTGGCATCTAAATGAATGCATGTTCATACATTTTTGGTGGGGAAATAACATTGCAGTCTAAGGACCTTGCTACTCAAAAGTGTAGCCCGCAGACCAGCAGCATCAGGATCCCCTGGGGACTTGTTAGGAACAGATTCTCCAGCCTCACCCCAAACCTGTGGATCAGAATCTGCATATTTAACATGATCCCTGGTGCACATTAGAGTTGGAGGATCACTGGCCTAGAAGACTCTACACTCAGTTTGGAGCCTTCTTCAGACACGTTTGGGATGAGGAGTGTCCTGTTTGATATCAGGGACAGAGGGACTTGTGCTTCACCTGGGAGCTTTCTAGTGTCTCTGCTTATAAGGACACTGATCCTATTGGATCAGGGCCACACCTATATGACCTCATTTAACCTTAATTACTTCCCTGTAGGCCCTCTCTCCAAATACTGCCACCAGGGTTGTATGAATTAGGGGGCAGGGTGGAACAATTCAGTCCATACCATTGATCGTTTTAAAAAGTGATCACGTGTAAAACGCTGTCTGCCTCATTTGGGGGGAGGAGGATTTGGCCCTTGTACATCCCTCATCTCATTTATTTTGCGCAGCTGCCCTACGAGCTAGGTAGTGTTACCCCATTTCACAGATGAGGAAGCAGAGGCTCCTTGAGGGTAAGGAATCATCCCAAGCTTTCATAGCTAGAACCTGGATCTAAAAACTCAGGTTCTTCTGTCTCAAAAGGCTTCCCCACTTCATGAATCGTTTTCCCTTCCGAAGGCAGAACATATACTTAATAAGTTTCATACTTGAACGCCCCCATGGTAGTCTTAACTGCCACTTTCTGTTTTCTGGAAACCATCTATCTGCTCGGTTGGCAGAACCAGTACTGCATGGGGTGCTGGAGTGAGGGATTAAAACTCCTAATAAGAGGAGGGTGTTTTATCTTGATGACAGGCCTCTCAGACACTGAAAACGCAGAGACGGATGCTTGGCTCGACTGAAGGACCCCAGACTCTAGACTCTGAAGACCGGGCTGTGGTGGGTGACCAGGATCTGATGGCTAAATGTGTGAGCCTGTCGTGCACAGTCCTGGAGAGCCTTTACCCCACAGCCTGGCTCCACACCCACACAGCTTTCTCAGGGATAAGGCCCTGAGGCCAAGATTTTAGAATGGCTGTGGCAGGTTTTGCGGGCCCTGGGTGTCAGGGGTTGTAGTCCCTGATGAGTCCCGAGGACAGGGATGGTGAGACCCTAGGCCCTGCTCTCCGGGAGAGTCTAGCGTGGGGGAGAAACGCCAGCAGGCGCTCTGATAAGTGTGGTGGGTGCTCCCTCACTGCGGTGACAGGGCCCTCACTGCAGGCTGGGAGAGATGATGCCCTTCGTGGTGACCAGGGATGGGCTCACTGGCAAGTCTCTGGTGTTCCTGAACTTTGAGTTCCTAAAGCCAGCAAATGGAGGTGCCCAGGCCCTGCGCCCTGAGAACACCGAAGCTCAAGGAGGGGCTCCAGGATCAGAGCTCCTGAGGGATGAGTCCCTGTCTGCTGGGGAAGGCAGGGTGGGGAGGGTGGCATGGGGAGCCGGGATCCCTGGGGCTCTGTGATCAGATCAGGGTTGAACTGCTGAGTTTGACCTGGCCTTTTGGAGCCTGCCACCTCTGTAGGGAGACACTGTTTATTATCAAGTGACTTCAGGCAGATTTTGGAGTGTGGGTCAGAATTCCACCCAGCAGATTGCCTCATCCAGGGGTCACAGACTGGCAGCCAGGGGCCGTGTCCTGCCGGCAGACCTGTTTGGTTTGGCCTGGATCCCAGGGTATTTTTTTTAATAATATTTTTTTTCCTGCCTCTCTTGTGGAAGGGTTGGCATGTTTTCATTGTTTGAGGTAAGCGTGATTTTGCTATTGTCTTTTTTGTTTGTTTTATTTTGGGGGTGGGGGTGTTGCTTTTTTTTTAATTTATTTTTTTGAAGTGTAGTTGATTTACAGTGTTGTGTTCATTTCTGCTGTGCAGCAAAGTGATTCATTTATACATAAATATACATTCTTTTTTTAATATTCTTTTCAAAATATTTTTTAAATATTCTTTTTTTAAAATATCCTATGGTTTATCATAGAATACTGAATATAGTCCTCTGCACTATACAGTTGGATCTTGTTGTTTATCCATTTCATAAATAATAGTTTACATCTGCTAATCCCAACCTTCCACTCCATCCCTCCCCCACCCCTTCCCCCCTCGGCAACCACAGGTCTGTTCTCTGTGTCCCTGAGTCTCTTTCCGTTTCGTAGATAGGTTCATTGTATCATATTTTAGATTCCACATATAAGTGATATCATATGGTATTTGTCTTTCTCTTTCTGACTTCACTTAGTATGATAATCTCTAGTTGCATCCATGTTGCTGCAAATGGCATTATTTCATTCTTTTTTATGGCTGAGTATTATTCCATGGTATATATGTACCACATCTTCTTTATCCATTCATCTGTGGATGGACATTTAGGTTGTTTCCATGTCTTGGCTATTGTGAATAGTGCTGCTGTGAATATATGGGTGCACATTAGAGTTTTGTCTGGATATATGCCAAGGAATGGGATTGCTGGATCATATGGTAGTTCTATTTTCAGTTTTCTGAGAACCTCCATACTGTTTTTCCACAGTGGCTGCACCAACTTACATTCCCACCAACAGTGCAGGAGGGTTACCTTATTTCCACACCCTCTCCAGAATTTGTTATTTGTAGTTTTTAATCATGGCCATTCTTTTTTTTTTTTTAACATCTTTATTGGGGTATAATTGCTTTACAATGGTGTGTTAGTTTCTGCTTTATAACAAAGTGAATCAGTTATACATATACATATGTTCCCATATCTCTTCCCTCTTGCGTCTCCCTCCCTCCCACCCTCCCTATCCCACCCCTCCAGGCGGTCACAAAGCACCGAGCTGATCTCCTTGTGCTATGCAGCTGCTTCCCACTAGCTATCTACCTTACGTTTGGTAGTGTATATATGTCCATGCCTCTCTCTCGCTTTGTCACAGCTTACCGTTCCCCCTCCCCATATCCTCAAGTCCGTTCTCCAGCAGGTCTGTGTCTTTATTCCTGTCTTACCCCTAGGTTCTTCATGACATTTTTTTTCTTAAATTCCATATATATGTGTTAGCATACGGTATTTGTCTCTCTCTTTCTGACTTACTTCACTCTGTATGACAGACTCTAGGTCTATCCGCCTCATTACAAACAGCTCAATTTCGTTTCTTTTTATGGCTGAGTAATATTCCATTGTATGTAAGTGCCACATCTTCTTTATCCATTCATCCGATGATGGGCACTTAGGTTATTTCCATCTCTGGGCTATTGTAAATAGAGCTGCAATGAACATTTTGGTACATGACTCTTTTTGAATTATGGTTTTCTCAGGGTATATGCCCAGTAGTGGGATTGCTGGGTCATATGGTAGTTCTATTTGTAGTTTTTTAAGGAACCTCCATACTGTTCTCCATAGTGGCTGAACCAATTCACATTCCCACCAGCAGTGCAGGAGTGTTCCCTTTTCTCCATACCCTCTCCAGCATTTATTGTTTCTAGATTTTTTGATGATGGCCATTCTGACTGGTGTGAGATGATATCTCATTGTAGTTTTGATTTGCATTTCTCTAATGATTAATGATGTTGAGCATTCTTTCATCTGTTTGTTGGCAGTCTGTATATCTTCTTTGGAGAAATGTCTGTTTAGGTCTTCTGCCCATTTTTGGATTGGGTTCTTTGTTTTTTTGTTATTGAGCTGCATGAGCTGCTTGTAATTTTTGGAAATCAATCCTTTGTCAGTTGCTTCATTTGCAAATATTTTCTCCCATTCTGAGGGTTGTCTTTTGGTCTTGTTTATGGTTTCCTTTGCTGTGCAAAAGCTTTGAAGTTTCGTTAGGTTCCATTTGTTTATTTTTGTTTTTATTTCCATTTCTCTAGGAGGTGGGTCAAAAAGGATCTTGCTGTGATTTATGTCATAGAGTGTTCTGCCTATGTTTTCCTCTAAGAATTTGATAGTTTCTGGCCTTACATTTAGGTCTCTAATCCATTTTGAGCTTATTTTTGTGTATGGTGTTATGGAGTGATCTAATCTCATACTTCTACATGTACCTGTCCAGTTTTCCCAGCACCACTTATTGAAGAGGCTGTCCTTTCTCCACTGTACATTCCTGCCTCCTTTGTCAAAGATAAGGTGACCATATATGCGTGGGTTTATCTCTGGGCTTTCTATCCTGTTCCATTGATCTTTCTGTTTTTGTGCCAGTACCATACTGTCTTGTAGTATAGTCTGAAGTCAGGGAGCCTGATTCCTCCAGCTCCGTTTTTCGTTCTCAAGATTGCTTTGGCTATTCGGGGTCTTTTGTGTTTCCATACAAATTGTGAAATTTTTTGTTCTAGTTCTGTGAAAAATGCCAGTGGTAGTTTGATAGGGATTGCATTGAATCTGTAGATGGCTTTGGGTAGTAGAGTCATTTTCACAATGTTGATTCTTCCAA